ATTGATTGAAAGTTTAGCCGTCCCCGGGACTCGTCGGGAGCGGGAGCAGAGGAGACTGGGCGAGGCCGGCCGGAGGTGGAAGAGGAGGTGCGTCTGTCCGACTTTGTGGAGGGGTTGCTTCGCTTGCGTTAGCTCGCGAGTGTGTTCGGTCGTCCACTTGGACATCGTCAACTCCGTCGTCGCCATCCTGGGGTGGGGGCGGGGGGAGGGGGTGCTCAGGAACAAAGTATGATCGAATAGAACAAATGAACGAACCAGGTGGATGAGCGAACGGAGCGTCGAACGCGCCGTAAGAGCCAATGGGGCCCGTTCGATCACAGCAGCCGTTCGTTCACGCGTTCACTGCCCGTTCGTTCACCGGCCTGGTTCCTGAGCAGCCCTTGAGCGCCTCGTCATGTACGCCCGCGAACCCTTTGCCCTCTCGTCCCCTTTTGTTTTTTGGCGGGCCGCTGCAAGGCCTGCTGCACCCCCTGCAGCACTGACACCGCAGCGGCGTCGGCGACACGGCTGTCGATCGGGAGGCGTGCCGGGGAGTGGCGCTCTCAGGAAGGGGGGGAGAGGGTGACGGTTTGACTCGTTTGACTCCGAACAGGAAGGCGGTGCGTTGGAAAAGAAGCGAGCACGGCAAAAGGCGGCGTGGCCGAGCAAGAGAGGGAGGGAGAGAGAGAGCGGGATGGGGTGGGGAAAGGGAGCGGCGCTAAGGATGCGTCGTCGTCGTCGTTCGCCAAAGTGCCTCATCAAGATTTGCATGACAAAGAGCGAAACGGCTTTGATTGACTAGTTGAGGGTTTGGCGCTGGGGCGGGGGCTGCGCGGGTGCTTGTATGTCGCGGTGCGGGGCGGGGGCGGCGGGGGCGGCGCCTCGTACGCGCGCGCCCCCACCCGGTACGGCCGCAGCCAGGCGGGTCCCCTCGCCGTCCCCGTGCCGTACAGTGCGCCCCGGGTCCCCGCACCACTCGCTGTAGTAGTCTTGTTTCACTGCAGTAGGCTCGCTGCGGGGCGGGAGGGGAGGCGAGGGGGTGGAGCGCTGTCCGCGCTGGGCGGGGGGAGCGGCGCCAGAGGCAGGGTGCAGTACAGTGGGGAGGGGCCCAAAGCGCAGGGGTTGCGGTGCACAAACCACGCACTGCTGCGGGTCCCTTTTCATTTTCGCAGCCGCGCGATGCCGTGGCAGAGAATGTTAGGACATCGCGGGGGCTTTCCCCCCATTTCATTATCGCGTTTCGATTTTTCTTCTGTCGTTTTCAATTACACTTTTAAGGCCCCTTTGTCGTAGTTTTTGTTGTTTATTTCCGTATGTAGCAAATCGGAAAGACTTGTTAAATGTTCTACGCCGCACTATTTGTTGGTGAGCGTCGCCGCCGTCGCGACGGGCGGCTGCTGCGGCTGAAGAGCATCCGCGCAGCGTCCTGGGGAAAGGGGGGAGGGGGTTAACTGGTAGGTAGCAGCGCAGACAGACCAGGCCACGTGCGCTGTGTGTGCGTGTGTGAATGCGTGTGTGTGTGTCAGCACTCGGTGCAGCAGAGGCCGTTCGTTGCTCGGGGCCGAGGGAGAGGGCCGATGGCGGTGGGGGAGACTAGAGGGGAGGAGGGGAGACCAGAGGGGAAAAGTACCTTTCATTTCGGTCCCTCTCGGTCTGTATCTCCCCCACCCGGGGGCCCCCGCTCGGGGGGGCTGCTCTGCTGCTGAACCGACTGCAAACATCCGCATTGCGCGTTATACAGAAAGACGACGCGACGCGGTCGACATAGAGAGATATAGATTGATAGACTTGTATGCCGCGACGCACCTCGTGGGGGCGTGGAGGGGCCGCCGCCGCTGCTGTGGCGGTCTCTCACGATGGCGAGCCGCTCTTTTTCACCCTCGAGTTCTGTTCGGCAGTGGAAGTGTACCGTTGACAGGCCGAGCTGGGCGGGGAGGGGCGGTACGTCTTGCTCTGGTGGCTTCCGGTGGTGTGGTGCGGCTGCCGTGCCGCCGCCGCCTCACCTCGGCTGGTGGCGGGGCTGCTGTGTGGTGATGGTACCCAAGTGTGCTCGTGTGTGTGTGTGTGTGTGTGTGCTCGTGTGTGTGCTCGTGTGTGTGTGTGTGTGTGCGTGTAAAGGGGGGGGGGGCGCCTACTGCCGCCCTGCCAGCCCGAGCGTAGTGCCCCAGGCCGTACACAGGATGAGCAACCCCAACTAGTATAGGGAAAAGAGGATCACCTGAGCGGGCAGGTTCTCGAGCAGAGACTGCAGGGACGTGCGTGTGGAGAGAGCGTGTCTTGCTCCCTGCACAGCTATACCAAGTGGCTGATTCACCCCGCGCACTTCTATGTAAGTCATGCTGTACCGCATCCCTACGTGAGGGAGGGTTGCCTACTCACACCGCCCGACGCCGTGGTCAGGGCCGATAGGCAAACCCGCCCGCACTCCTGCGTGCGGTACAGCATGACTGCAGGAGTGCCCAGGGTTTATCAGCCACCTGGTATACCGGGGGCGGTTCTTTGCCTACTACTCAAGGCTCCCATATCTGAAGGCAAACCCCACTGGCATCGGCGCGTGCAAGTAGGAAACACCCGGTACACCGGCTGTGGAAAATGTTTCTCTGACGATAGGGAAGAACGAGAGAGAAAGGATGGTGGCGTCCGGGTGGGCCTGGCTGTGCCCTATGCGCAGTGTTCGCGGGCGCGCCAGGAGTACCAGCAGCCTACCCCGGGAGGGGAGAGGCCCGGGGCGGCGCGGGGCGGGATGCGGGGAGCGCGCTGGGGGCCGCGCGCCTGCGCCTACCCGTTCGGCTGGTAGGCCCGGTAGGCCTGGTAGGCCTGGTGGCCGGGTGGGGCCTCTCCCGCGCGGGTCGATACAGAGTACTGCCAACGCGCCGCCCTTGCCCCTGCCAGCCGCGGTGGGGCCCCGCGCCCCGCACCGCGCTCCGCACCGCGCCCCGCACCGCCGAACAGAACCCGCCCGCCCGGGCCCAGGAGGGGAG